CCTCAGCCTCCTGAGTAGCTGGGACTACAGGCACCCGCCACTACGCCCGGCTAATTTTTTGTATTTTTAGTAGAGACGGGGTTTCACTGCGTTAGTCAGGATGGTCTTGATCTCCTGACCTCATGATCCACCCGCCTTGGCCTCCCAAAGTGCTGGGATTACAGGCGTGAGCCACTGCACCCGGCCACATTCAATGGTTTCTTACTGTACAGAGAATAAAGTTCACAATCCTTAGTATGGCACTCAAGAGCAACCATATTCAACTCCAGACTACTTTTCTAGCCCCATCTCTTCCTCATGCACCATTCATTTCAGGCTTCAGTCATACTGGATTGTATGAAAAATGCATGGCATGTGTCACATTTTACAGTTTTCAGTTCCCTGGCAAAATTTTCAAGCTTGGCTTTCACATTAGATTATATGTTTTTACACAAATCATACATATTTGTAGATGCAGAATTCACATACTAAAGGCTTTCCTAAACTGGGATATAAAAACCCATTCTAAAGATAATTGGATGGAACTTTTCATCAAAAGGATATGGAAACTGAATAAATCCTGTTAAGCTGGTTGGAAGAAACCTTTGGGCTGGGGCACAGTGCAGCTGCTGGAGTCAGTATCAGTTCTCCCAACAAGTCCATGCCAGCCACGTCTTCAGGGATGAAAAGTATTACTGGATGTCCTAGCACAGGGTGAATTCTGCTGCAGTGTGATTCAATTGTACCAAAATTTGGTCTACTATCAGAAAACAGACAAGTCAAATTTAACATTTTTTCCTCTTAAGAAATTATTTAAAAGAACGTTCAAAATTATTTTTACAACCTCTAGCATATGTATAACCATATAATGTGCCATATCAGTTTTGTTGGAATAAATAACTTATGTCTCACTCAGGGAATCACAGCAATGGAAACAGTACAAAAATTGGCATTTCAGAGATGGTATCATGGCTCCTGCTTTTGCTGCCACTAATGGATGCTTCTTAGTTTCTCTTTTAAAAAGCATTTTAGACCCGGTATGGTGGCTTACGCCTGTAATCCTAGCACTTTGGGAAGCTGAGGCGGATGGATCACTTGAGGTCAGGAGTTCAAGACCAACCTGGCCAACATGGTGAAACTCCCTCTCTACTAAAGATACAATAGCTGGGCGTGATGGTGCATGCCTGTAATCCCAGGTACTCAGGAGGCTGAGGCAAGAGAATCGTTTGAACCTGGGAGGCGGAGGTCGCAGTGAGCTGATAATGGGCCACTGTACTCCAGCCTGAGCAACACAGTAAGACTTTGTCTCGAAAAATAAATATTATTATTTTATTTTATTAGAGATGGGGTCTTACTATGTTTACTAGGCTGGTCTCAAACTCCTGGCCTCCAGCAATCTTTCTGCCTTGGCCTCCCATAGTGCTGGGACTACAGGTGTGAGACATCATGACCAACCTGTTACTTATTCTCAAGTATATTTCCTCCACTAAAATTAATCTTTGGTTCTGGGCAAATTTTCAAATTCATTCAAAGGTCAGCATTGTGTGAGGGGGTCCATGAATCACAAATGGCCTAAAACTGGCCCCATGATACTTAGAAGTCTGCTCTCATACATGCTACACCTTCCGCTGAAGAGGTCTAAGGTTGCTGTTTGATAGTAACAATGAGAAAAAAATCAGGCCATCTTTCTCTCCTAGAAAGAATCTAGTAAAATTTTGTTACTTTCCAATAGCTCTTTTCTAAACAGAGAGAAAATAGTCAACGTGAGAGAGCTGATTAAGAATGAATTAATTAATTAGAGGAAATATTAATGAACCTTTTCCTTTATCTCTAATCAGGTCATCCAAGGAAACACATCTACAAAAATTGGCTCAGAGGCTTAAACTTCTGTCAGTGCAACTATGATGATAAGCTGCTACCTGTAAGGATTGTTTAGTATTAGAGGATCACTAAAGAAAGATATGGGGTGGGAAAATTATAACCTGTATATTAAATGACAAAAATGTTCTCATCTGAGGTATAATTTTGGGTGAGAATAAGAAAACAGACTAAAAACCAAGGGCAGTCTCTTTAAGCCTTAAGAGACTCTGACTACTAGTGTTGCCTCTGGGCACATAAGAGGCAGAAACTAATGAATAAAGACTAAATTAGGGCTGGACACAGTGGCTCACATCTGTAATCCCAGCTCTTTGAAAGGCCAAGGCAGGATGATTGCTTGAGTCCAGGAGTTTGAGACCAGCCTAGGCAACACCCTCATCTCTACAAAAAAAAAAAATTTTTTATTAGCAGCATATGGGCTGGGCGCAGTGGCTCACGCCTGTAATCTCAGCACTTTGGGAGGCCGAGGTGGGTGGATCACGAGGTCAGGAGATCGAGACCATCTTGGCCAACATGGTGAAACCCAATCTCTACTAAAAGTACAAAAAAATTAGCCGGGCATGGTCACGTGTGCCTGTAGTTCCAGCTACTCAGGAGGCTGAGGCAGGAGAATCACTTGAATCCAGGAGGTGGAGGTTGCAGTGAGCCGAGATCTGCACTCCAGCCTGGGTGACAGAGTGAGACTCCGTTCCAAAAAAAAA